CGCAGGCCTCCCCTGCTAGGTCAGTGGGCCTTCCCCCCCCCCCCCCCCGGGGGAGGGCGGGGTGGGTGGGCCGCCCTCCAGGACCCAGGGGTTCCACAGGCCCTCGGACTGGCCCCAGCCGGACCCAGGGCGGGTGCTGCTGTGGGCTGGGGAAGGAACCCCCCCTTCCCCACCAAAGCGCTGGCTGTGTGCGCCTGCTTCTCCGCCTTCTTCTTCCGCAAACTTCCCAACTTCAGAGGGCTCCTCGGATGCTCAGCCGTAATGGGGCTTTAATGCTGGTGATTTGCATTTAATTAGACACGGAAAACTGTTAATAGAGCCGCTCGTCTCCTCCTCCTCCTCCTCCTCCTCCCTCTCCCTTCCCTCCACTGCGCCTCCTGCCTTCCAGATCCCATTAGGGGAAGGCTGGGCTGCCAAAGCAGGAGGAGGAGGAGGAGGAGGAGGAGGGGCGCTTGTGGGGGGGTGGAGGGCCCTGTCGCCACTGTCCAGCCTGCCCAATCCGGCCAGAGCCATCTCCCGCCAAACCCAGCCTCGAAGAAGGTCAAGGCTCCCCCTCCCGGTCCCCGCAGCCCTGGGCCCTTACTGGATCCGCCAGGGAAGGGCAGGGCACTCCTCTCCTTGGCCAAGCCGTTGGTCTTGGGGCTGGCACTGGGGGCCGAGGCAGCGGGGACGGCGGTGGTGGCTGCCCGAGGGAGCCTCTTGCCGGGCACTTTTACTGTCGTCCTCAGCAAATCGATCTCCTTCCCGTGGACGTTCTGCATGTAGTCCTGGGGGGGGGGGGGACAGAGGGGGCAGGAGGGAAGACAGGTCGGGTCGGCCCCAGCTTGCTTGCTTTCAACCCCCCCGCCCCACTTCGGGCTCGGAGACCTGGGAATACCTCGTTCCCCCAGGCCCACGACCGGAGGGAGGGCTGGGAAAACCTGCAGTGGTTCCCCCTGGGCTGGCTTGGCGAGACCCCCGCAGTTGGCCTGGCCCAGGGAGTCCCGCTCCATCGTCCCCCGCCTGCAACGCCCCCAAGCAGGTCCTCCCTCCCTCCCTCCTTCTCCCGAGTCCCCCTTCCAGGGAGCAGCAGGGAAGCCTTCCCCCCTCCACAAGGACTTTCCACGGTTCCCCCCTCCCGTGCCAGGTGCGTCCCCCGTACGCCCAGCCCGACCGGGGAGGGTTTCCCTGCCTCAGCAGAAGCGTGGTTGTGGCTGGGCGCTCCGGCAAGGCCGCCCGCTGCCGCGCGCAGAGTGCCACCCCTGCCATCCAGCTCGGTCACCAACGTGCCGCATTTACTGCCGTGCCATAAAACAGCAATTTCTTCCCAAGCCTCCTCGCTAATTACGCAGCCAGTTCTCTCATTTCATTTTATTACTGGAATTAACAACGAGTTCAAAGCGTGGAAAGCTATTAAGATGTGTGATTAAGCCACATTCAATTAGCTTCTACAAACAATTTAATTGATGTTGCAGATAGAATTAACAGAAGGTGATTGTGTGAATGGCTCCAGTGGCTGCAGAAGGGGAGGCGCTTCCTGGCACTGGGGCTGCCGCTGCCGCCACCAACGCCTCTGCGTCTCCTCGGCAGGATGGAGGGCAGAGGCGGCGCGAGGGGGGTCCCACGTCATGAGGATCTGATCAGGGGGCATGGGTACCCCCCCTCGCCTCATGTGCGGGAGGGGGCAGCAGTGCCAAGGTGCAGAAAATCTGGAACCGGCTGTGGTGCCACCCTGCCCTTTAGGGGCAGAGAGGAAACTCCTTGGCACAGCCGGGGCTCAGGCATGGGGGAGGCATCTGGTCTGGCCACAAACTCTGGTGCGCAGCATTGGCAGAAGCCCTCAGCAAAGTAAGAAAGATGGGGACTCCAACACCCGTCGAGCACGTCCTCCCCCCACAAAGACTCACGTGGAGGCTGGGGTGGTAGGTGAGGACTCCGTTGTCACAGAGGGTGACGTACTTCTTCTTCCACTCCTTGTTCAGGGACTTCCCGCTGCGTTTCAGGAGCACTCCCTGGGGACGAAGAGCGCCGGACATCAACAGGACCTCAGCCAGGTCTTGCCTCCCCCGCCGGGCTCTCCTGTCCCAGGGGCCCCACACCAGCCCATCTCTGCCCCACAAGCGCTTGAGCTTTGTCGGAGACGGCGTCCCCCAAAACCGAAGCCTGCGTCCACTCCGGGGCGCAGGAGATGGGGGCACGCTCCCAAAAGGTCCCCTGGGTCTTCCAGCAGGAGGCAGCGTCCATTCCTGTCCCATTCATCGCCCCAATCCTGGATCCAAGCCAAGGAGTTGCCTCAGGACCGCAGCTCCAGGGGGTTCACCTTCCTTCTCACCGGTCGATCGTGCTGAGGGAGTCCCCTCCCCGGGGCAGAGAAAGGCCGCTGCCAGGGGGACCTTGATGCTCAGCCCACACACTTCGCGGCATCTGTGCAGAGATTTCCCCTGCCCTGTTTCCTCTCACCCCCCCCCCGCCCCCCCTGCCAACAAGAGCTGGCCAAAGCAATGCCAGTGATCTGCCACCCCAGGACTGAGAGGGGTTCCGGAAAAGTAGCGAGAGGGTCAACCGAGTGAGCATCAAACAAATGCCAAATTCTGCCTGATCTTCCCTGTGCCAGAAATTGGGATCCCGGGCCGTCCCCCATGCAGATGTTCCAAGAGGATCGGACGGCCACTGGAAAATGTGACTGTGGTGGTGTGGATGTGATGGCCCATTTGGGACTGTCCCGGGAGACAGTCCTCCCAAGTGGCCGGAAGGGGAGGGAACCTGTCAGCGCCTCCAAACTGGACCCACCAAAGCGGCCGCCAAGGACTGGCGCAGCCACAACACCCTTCTCCTCCAAGCCGGTTGCTGTCCTGCAGGCTGAGCTTGCAAGGGGCAGGTTGGAATCTGGCCCTTTCCTGCCCCCTCCCTAGAGAAGCAGCCGGAAGAGCCGGTGGCAACCCAAATGCAGCCTGTGGGCCTTTCCCTCTTGTGCCCCAGAAGCAGCCCGGCAGCCTCCTCTGTCCTGAGTCGCCCCCCCCCCCCTTGTGTGCAAAAGCCTCCTCCCCAAAGAAACAATTGGGGGGGGGGACTTGATCCAGGATGCAAGAGATTCCGCAGACAGCCTTGAGGCTGGGTGGGAAGCCAGTGACTGTGGGAGGGAGGAGGGGGCCATGATATGCGGGGGTCCCTTCTGCAAGCCCCCGTAAGGCAACCCACCAGTTGCCCAGAGCCCCCCCTCCTCCCTCCCTCCCCATTCCTCGGTAGCACAGCCTTGGCCCTCACTGGCAGAGCAGGGGACTCCCCTCTTCCCCCCCCCCCATGCCTAACATTAGCGGGAGCGGCCCCCTCCCTACTGCGGAGGAGGAGGAGGAGGAGGCGGCAGCAGCGGCAGCAGCAGCGGCAGCAGCAACAATATCCGGGGTAATGAAGCAGGCAGAGCCAACGGCCCCCCCAGGACCACTTTCCCCCACAAATCTCCCTTCCGCTCACTTTTCCCGAAGAATTTTAACACCAAACTTAATTGTAAAGCCGCGGATTGATTGGAAAATGCAAATGGCAATTTAAATGTAATCTAAGCTCCCAGCACGATCCCGGCTCCCTCCAAGGAGGAACCCCCGGCCCAGCCTGCGCTGGAGCAGACGCCCCCCCACCTCGGCAGGGCAGGGCCGGAAGCGGCCAGGGGACGAACCTCCCCCCGAGGGGCTTCCCCCCACTTGCTGGCCCTCAGGTGGCCAACCTCCACAGACCCCCGGCTACAGGGACTCTCCCTGTCCTGTAGCTGGAGGTCTTGTGCTGGGGGGCTGGTCTGTGCCTAGAAGANTGCCCAGGAAGTGCCCCCCCCCCACAAAGCCACATTCCAGGTGGGACCAAAAGGACCCCAATGTGGCTAGACCACATAGAGGGCAGGGGAAGGGACCCCTAGCAAAACCCGGGTGTGTGTGTGTGATGGACCCGCACCAGCTGAGGAAAGGGAGGGAAGGGCCTGGCCAGGGGGAGGGGAGAAGGGAAGCAGGCTGGGGGGAGGGGGAAAGCCGAGGTAGCCCCACCAGAGCCATGGGGCAAAGCGGCTGGAGCAGGGGAAGTGGCAAACGATTGGGAGGGGGGGGCTCCCTTGTAACCCTTTTAAGGGGCAGCATAAAGAGCTCCATTGCCTGGGTCCCAATGGACCCAAGGAGGCCCAGCGTCTTCCATTTCCTGGGCCCTCCAGAGGCCATCAAGAGGGGCAGTCCTTCCGGGCCCCCTGGTGGAGGAGAGCAGGAAACTGGCACAAATCAGGGGTCCTGGGGCGGAGCTGCCGAGTGGGGCAAGCCAGAGGCGGCGCCCACCGAGGGGAGGCTGCTGTGCCCGCATCCCAAACCTTCCGTGGTCCCGGGGCAGGCAAGGACGAGGCACCCGGCTGTCTCAGGCTGCGGAGAGACACGGAAGAAACAGTGCTAGAATTCCCACGCTGGACGCTTGCAAGTTCCCAATGGGGCATCGCGAAGCGTCTTGCAGAGGGTCCCGCTAGATGAACTCCGGGGGACCCTGCAAGCCAAATAGCCAACGGCTCTGCCAGATGCCAGGCAAGAGACCAGCGGGAGCCCTTCTGCCACGAGCCGGGGTCCTCGCGGGCAAGAGGCCGAGGGCAGCCACAAGGGGATGTGGGGAACACTCAGGAGGTTGGGGGTGGTGGGTGAGGGGCAGGCAGCTGGCTGAGCAGGCTGGGCACCTGCTCCTCCTCCTCCTCCCTGAGCCAGCCAGGAACGGCCGTGAGAAAGGGGGGACATGTGGGCAGGGAGACCCCCGGGCATCGGCAGGGAGAATTTTTACCCTCCCTCCTTTTAACGCTGCCTCTTCAGAAAACCTCGAAAGGGGCTTCTTGATCCCAGATGCTCTCTGGGAGACCCCCCCAAAGTTTGACGTGGGGAAGAGGAAGGGGGAGCCCAGAGGAAGGGTCACAAGCCTGCCATGCAGCTGGGCAGGAATCCCCCCTTGCTGTCTGGATCAAAAGACTCACTGCCAGGAAGGGGCAGGGAGAGGGGCTCGTCCCCCCCCCTCCGCTTCACCTGGCAGAGGGTGTGGCCCAGCAGCTGGGGGGGGGGAACTGTTAGACAGGGCTGAACCCCCCCCTCCTTCGCCTGGGAATGGATGGCAGGGAACCCACCTGCAGGCTCCGGAAAAGGGAAAAGGCAGGAAAGACCCCCACCCCAAGGATCACCCTTTACCTTGATGGCAGGGCAGAGGAAGGAAGGAAGGAAGGGAGGGAGGGAGGGAGGAAGGGAGGGAGGGAGGAAGGAAATAGAGAGAAGGATCACCCTTTACCTTGATGGCAGGGCAGAGGAAGGAAGGAAGAAAGGAAGGAAGGAAGGAAGGAAGGAAGGAAGGAAATAGAGAGAAGGATCACCCTTTACCTTGATGGCAGGGCAGAGGAAGGAAGGAAGAAAGGAAGGAAGGAAGGAAGGAAGGAAGGAAGGAAATAGAGAGAAGGATCACCCTTTACCTTGATGGCAGGGCCGAGGAGGG